CGGGACAGCTGAGCACCCCTACACCGCGCTGGGTGGCTCCCAGTCTCGTGGGAGAGCACTGGAGGTGTCGACATCGGAGATGGAGCCGTCGAGAGCTGCCTTCCTCCAGAGCCAGGTGGAGGTGGCAGAGGAGGAGGAGGAGTATGCGGGTAAGCGCCAGTTGAGCTGCCATGTCATCCCCCTGAAACTACCCAGGAAAATGCCAACTGGGGGAGCCACGAGGCCTGATCCTGCCCAGGGCCGAGGCGGGCTGGGAGGAGCGGTGCCTGTGGCCGGCGCGGGGCAGCAGGACGGTGAAATTAGAAGGTAGCAAAATGTCCCGTCCCGGCGCTCCCGCCACAAATTGGTGGTGCAGCTGTCTGAAGGGTAAAAAAAGCTCCTCTGCCCACCTTCCTCCCTTTTTTTTTCCCCCTGCCGGTCCCCGAGGAGCGGGCCCGGCCACTCTTTCAAAGTTGCTCTTGCGCCCGGGTGTTCAGCTGGAGGATGGTTGGGTGGGATTTGTGCCGGGGAGGATGAGCTGGAGAAGAAGATACGAGATCTGTAAGATAATGGATAGAGGGTAAGATAGGTGGAGGGTCCCCAGCCCCTTCCCTGCACCCATCTGTCCAGGGAGGGTGTGCTCAGAGCATCCTGGCAGCGGGGTCTGGGGGGTGCTCAGCCTCTTTCCCCGCTGAGCTGATCTCTCCCCAGGTCTGTGCCACCCTGAGTGTGGTGACCAGGGCTGCGATGGCCCCAACGCCGACCAGTGCTTGAACTGCATCCACTACAGCCTGGGCAGTGTGAAAACCGGCAGGTGAGGGGCGGTGGGTGACCCTGTGGGGTCCCTGGATGGTGGCAGAACCTTTCCCCAGGGCTCTCACCTGAAGAAGAAACATATAGGAGCAAAAACGGAGGGAGGAGGAGGTGTGAGGATCCCTGCCCTGGACTGGGGTACAATGGGGTGGAGAACACGGAGCTGGAGAGCCCTGGAGGACCTTGGCCATGCAAGTCTTGGTGGGGAAGAAGCGTTGGCTTCACTGGCCGGGATCACCCATGCCTGAAGGACAGCTGGCTGAGGTGCCAAATCACTTCTAGAATGGGGGTTTTTGCTTCTCAACCTCTTGGGCTGGTACGGGGAAAGTTTACCCATAGTCGGGGTTGCTGGCCAAGAGAGTCCCCGGCTCTTTATTACAGAGTTACGACATTCAAGACACCCTAAATCTTAAGAATAAGAAAGAAATGAGCCCAAATCATCGTCAAGGCTGAGGGGTGCCCCGAACGCTGTGGGCGAGGGGACGGCGGTGGGTGCCAGGCTGCCTGGTGGTGGCTGGGTGTTGGCACCAAAGCCCGGATGCTCTCGGTTCCTTCCCCAGGATGTGTGTGAGCTCGTGCCCCGCGGGGTTTTTCGGGGACAAAGGGGCCCGGAGGTGCCGCCGGTGCTACAAGGGCTGCGAGCGCTGCGTCGGGAGGGGACCGACCCAGTGCACGGCGTGCAAGCGGAGCCTCTACTACCACCAGGAGATGGGCACCTGCGTGGTGCTGTGTCCGCCCGGGTTTTACGCCGAGGAACGTAAGGATGTTGATGACTTGGAAGCTGTAGCACGAGGATATTCAGGGGTTGCTTCTATTTTAAGTGCTTCAGGTGGAGAAAACACCTTGATTTTTGAGTATTGGCTTTGAAATCCACCTCTGGACCCGCTTTGCACAGCAACGGGAGGAGGAAAACTTCTGGGTGTGCAGAGGGTGGTGCAAAGCAGAGGTGCTCAACTCAGCTCTTAATTAGAAGACTGTAATTAATGATCCTAGCTGCTTGCAAAGCATATTTCTTCTTAGCAAGCAATGACAGATAAGGTCATCTCCAGTAGCAGGGACCTGTCGGGGAGGGATGTGCCTCTCCCCTCCGGGGACCTGGCACTGGGGTGCAGCGGGGCTTTGCGGCTCCGACTGCCGCTTGCAAATCACTGTCCGGATTTTATTCCCCCTGCCTCACTTTGTTTTTTTGAAAGGTCAGAAACGCTGTCTGAAATGTCATCAAAGCTGTAAAAAATGTGTCAGCGAAGCAGACAAATGTACCGCATGCAAAGATGGATTCAGGTAAAATACCAGCATGGGAGGAGTTTATACCTGCAGTGTTGGTACCTGTGGTTTAAATTTGGGAAAACCAGTGGGAAATTAGAGAGTGAATTAGTTAAAGACTCGAGATCCTGCTCCTGTGGTACTACAGCTGTGGCCCAAAGCGCTGGAGGTCTGAGAATTTAAAGGTAGTGCTCTGTGCCCCTTTTTTAGCTGAAAAGTATGATTTAAATTTAATTTCCTTTTCTCCAACACTTGCCAGGGTGGTGAGAAAATTCTGTGCCGCAGGCTCAGGTGCTCATCCAAATTCGGTGACCTGCGACTGGAGGAGCTGCCAGTGTCACTGCATCTAAAATGGGGAAAAAAGCAACGAAAATAAAACGCACATTTCCTCCTGAGTCTCAGGTGGCTCCGTCAGAGCTGTCCCAGCCAAACAGGGCACTTGGTTTTGCTCACCTGGCAGAGCCCCTACCGGGCTGAGCTGCTCCAGGCAGGCTGAAAACGCTCCCTGCAAGTGCAGAAACCTTTCCCTCAGCTCCATTCACACAGGAATATTCTGCCTGATGTACCTGTTGAGCAGGGCCAGTATAGGATAGTGGTTTTCCAGCAATGCGGTTTTTTCAGCCCCGACCCTGCGAGGAGCACCAGGCACCCTTGCTGCTGGCTCCTGCAGGATGCAGAGCCCAGCCGTGCTGGCGAGCAGCTTCGGCACTGGGGAGAAGCTGGTTTCCATCCCCACCAAAAGATTATCTACTCCCTTGGAAAAGCAAAAGTGGAGGCACTTGTCAGACATAATCCGCACGGCGCTTGCTTTTCATTGTCCAATATCCTCTTAAGCCAGGACTTCAAATCATCCCTGCCATGGTAAAGCAGCACCAGTCCAGCCGTGGCACTGAACCAATTTCCTTTTATTCCAGGGAGCCTCATGGTGCAAAAGGTCTTTGGGAGGGCCAGGCTGGTTGCCCACAGGGAAAAATAATTTTATTTCTTCCTGGATACTTAATTAAGGAACCTGCAGCTGTCCTTTTGGTCCAGGCAGGGCTTTAATTTCTTCTGAAGCACTGGCTGGCTTCCCGAAGCCTCCTGCACCGTGGGCTGAGGCTACTGTAGGGCACTGGGGGATGCGGAGATGGGGACGGGCTGTGTTGAGTCCCCAAAGCCCGTAGCTCTGGGTGCAAATGTCCTCTCTGCTTTCCTGGCAGCCTGGCAGGAGAGAGCTGCGTGCCGGAGTGCCAGCCTGCCATGTACCTCAGCTGGGAGCCCCGGAGGTGTGAGACCTGCCCCGCCAGCACAGGTACATCCTTCACCCCACAAAATCCCCATGCAGCACCCCAAAACCTTCGTGCGTCAAGAGCTGATGCTCATGGTACCCATCCCGAGCCAGGGCAGAGCGTGCCAGCGGGGTAGCAATCCCAGCTCCCCAGCACATCCCACAAGGTGCTGGGAATACATTCATATTAGAAAGGTTTTTAGGGAGTTTTTACATTTTTATGAGAGCCATTCTTTATTTCCCGATTCCTCTGAAGCCAGGTGCTTTAGTTTAATAAGGTTGCAGAGGAGGCTGTAAAACCCTCTTGGAGTGATAGAAGATGGCTTTGCAGCGTATAAAAATGCCAGGCAGCCGAGATGCGTTATCCCAGCCGGGCTGGCTGCTCCGTCTTCCCCCGGCTGCCTGAAGTTGCTCAGCGTTCCCTTTAAATCCTGCCTTTTTTGCTTTTTGAAAGTCCAATTATTTTCCATTGTTAATGTTTGCGTCTGCCCTCGAAATCATCATAGATCTCATGATAATATGATCTCTAGACAATTCATGTTCAGTGGCGTGAATCTCATCTATCATACATGGGCAATTTCCTAAGACTAAATCCAAAATATTTATTGATCTTGTTGACAAGCATGGAAGCGAACGGGCTCTTAATCCCATAAGAAAATTACTTCCCTTCTAATTCTTATTCCAGTCAGTGTAAATGTACTTCAGCACAATTATTTTTCAAGCCTTTTCTCGTCTCCTTTTCCTGCATAACCATTTCTCAAGCCCGGCACGTGGAAGGGCTCTAATCATACCACCTCCATCACCGCGGTTTGCCGTCCAGCCGCAGCACGCCGGCGTCGGAGTGGGGCCGTCTGCTTTCGCAGCACCTCTCTGGAGCCCTTCCCTCCTCCTGCTCCTCCACAGCCCAATTTAGCATCTCTTTTTCCACATTTTACTCTGCATAGGGTGGGAAAAGCAAACTGGTGCATGCTTGGGAGTGGTGGCTGATGCCCCGGCGGGGATTCTGATGTGCTGTCCCCAGTGAGCCCCTGTGGCTGGGTCTTGGCTCTGCAGAGAGGCAGGACGCTGGATCCTGGCTGGGTTTTTTTGGATGGGAGCTGTTTTTTTAAAGTGGGAGCTGAGTTTTTTGGGGTTGGAGCCAAGCAGCCACACAGGACCCTGATGGCACGACAAGCATCTTGTTCACTCCTGGGCATGAGTAGGGCAGAGCGAGCCAGTGCCCCCCATCTCGTGCGGGGCTGCAGCCACGCTGGTAAAACGCGGCTTCTGTCTCCGAAACCTCCCATGTCAGCTGGCCTCTCCCCTGTCCCCGCAGGGCCCGGTGAGGAAAACTGTGCACCCTGCACCCCCGAGGCCCCTGCACCCCACTGGCGCTGCGTCCCCGCCTGCCGCGAGGGCTTCTACCCCGCCGACAGCCACGGGCTGCCCAACAAAGTCTGCAAGAGGTACGTCAGCTCCCCAGTCGCGACGAGAGCAGAGCTGGGACCGATGTGGAGCACTGGCAGTGATGATGATTAAAAAAATAAACAAAAAACCAAAAAATTTGAAAATAGCTTGCAGCTGGAGCTGTTTACTAGGGAAATTAAAATAGGGATAAGGGAGCCAAGGCAGCTGTAGGGCTGGACCCTGCACGTCCCTGCCCTATAGATGTAAGAGCAGTGAAGCTGCACGCTCCCCCGCCAGAGCCAACCAGCCAACATGTCTTAGGGCTACCGTGGAAGGGGCTCAGCCCCAGCTCCAGGCTCTTCGGAGGAGGTGTGGGAGGAACGGTGATGTTTAGGCAAATATTCCAGCTTTCCATCAAACCTGCTCTGTTTGCCCCACAGCCGTGTTGGAGGAGCCGTTCACCTGCTCCTTGGCCCAGCCCAGGAGCTGCGTGCGTGCGGGAGACGGGGAGATGCCGGGAGGCAGCAATTTGCTCCCACTCGCCGGCATTCTGCGCTTTAAGTGGGGAGTGGGAGTGGATTCTGTCTCATTAAAGCGAACATGAAAGGGAAGGATTAAAGGTGACTTGGGAACACGCAGCGCAGCGCCTGCCTGCCCAGGGCTTCACTCACCCACGCTGGCTATCCAGCAGGGAGGAGCAGGGGTCCAGCATCCCTTCCCAGGGATTTCGGGCACGGTCTCTGGAAGCCACCATCCCCAGGCAGGAGGCACAGCCAATGGGCTCTTTTCCCTGAGCAAACGTGCGGGAGCAGCACAGATTCCCCTCGCAGCCCTTTTTCTAACTGGGATTGCTGGGAGGAGAGGTGCGCATCCCACTGAGCCTCCCCAGCAGGCGAGTGCTTTTGGGATGTCTCTAGCTGTCACCGGGCATCAAGCTGGCACCACCGAGTTTATTTTTCCCAGGGTTTCGATAACTTTTCAAGCTTCATATTCGCTGTTTTCCACATCCTCTGGTTCAGTCTGGATGTCGCGGTGCCGGCAGACACGTTATCTGGCCGACGGCCCGTTTCGGATGCTGGGGTTGGGGTGTCGGTGCCAGTTCAGAGCATGGCGGGGTCTCTGTCCCCAGGTGTGATGACCACTGCTCGGCCTGCGAGGGCTCCAGTGGGAACTGCCTCAAGTGTAAAGAAGGTTTCAGCCTCCTCGGCGGCTCCTGTGTGACAAATGAAACCTGCACCAACGGTAAGTAGTTGTGGTAGAACCGCTGGCCCCGTAGTGCTTCCCTGGAAGGAAAACCAAGAGGTTCGAGGGATTCACTTCACAACGTAAAGCAGAGAGTGCCGGAGCTCCCGGGCTTGCTGGGGCACGGCTGCAGGGAGCTGGGCTCCGGGTGCAGTGGGCAGGCATGTTACCTGGCAGAGCCGCTGGATACCTGCCTGTTGCTCAAACGCATCCAAGCGTTTGTATTTTGTTACGGTTTAGTCTTGGGGCTAATTCTCCCACTCGCTGCAAAGCTGCTTTATTCCTTCATTAAAACCATGTGAAAGATGCCCTTAAAAAGCGACTCCTTTTCAATTCTCTCTCCTCCAACACTGGAACCGCCTGTTACGTGCAATGTTTGTTTATTTAAAATGTTAATCTGCTCTCATTTTCTCTTGTTCCTCGCCTCGGCCTCCCAGCTGACAAGACTTTCTGTGAGATGGTGAAATCAAACAAGCTCTGTGAAAAGAAGCTGTTTGTGCAGTTCTGCTGTCAGACGTGTCTTATGGCCGGGTAAAGTTCAGCGGCTGCATCCATCCAGGACTTCCACCAACTGCCAGCCCAGTTTTGCCAAACGATTAGGACAAAAGTTTGTTTTTTTTCAGCTTTGGGAGAGTTTACATGGTGCTGTCAAGCATTCGCTCGTAAGTTTGATAGCTTTAATATCACTGTCAGCGCGTTTCTATAGCGATATGTTAAGCAGAGATTGGATCGTACCGGGAATGATCAAGCCCTGAAAGGCAGCAGACAAGCGGTGATATTAATACTCTCAAACACTCCTCGTGAGCAGGGACCGATGCATGATCCATGTACGCACGCTTGGTTCTTCACAGAAATCCTACTGATCTACCCGCTCCGAGCGGCTGGCAGGAGCCCTCGCTGCAAAGGATGCAGGACTTCACACGGCTGCGGAGAAAGAGCCGTTTCTGGCTCCGTTTTTGGTACCCTTTTCTGCCAGGTGACGGCTGATCCACACCTGCATTGCAAACGGCCGGCGCCGTGCTCTGTACATACATGAAACGATGAATTAGGTGGTTCCCGGAGCGGTGCCCTAAAGCCTGCTCTGGCACTCCTGTTCGGATTCGGTCGGTAGCTGTTTCTCTCTGGTCATGGCAATAACTGGAGCTTTTGAGGACCAAAGCGAGAGCTGATCCCCGTGGCTCCGCAGGCGTGTCAGCCCAGCGAGCCCGGCAGGGCTTTGCCCTGCAGGTAACACCCCAGAACCTACAGGGAGTCTTAGGAACCTGGGGGCTTCGTCCACACGGACCAGCCTGTGGGGTCACAGCCTTACCATGAAATGTATTTCCCTCCTGGAACTGCTAGTAAGTTGCTGATTAATTCAGTTCTGGAATTCAGAGCTAGATCCTTCCTCTAAATGAGATGGTGTCCCAATTAATCTCTTCTGGCATTTTGCGTTTCGCTCCTTCCCTGTTTTGCTGGGTATCCCTCTCTCACAAAATCCTCCTGTTCACTGCAGTGATTTTTCTTGGGCATCTGTTTCCAAAAGAGACATTCCAGGGATCTGGCCAGGAAACTCTCGATTCTACAAAACCCCTCCCCAAAACAAACCTTTTCATGCTCTCTCTTAATAGTAAGTCATGTGGTGTTGATATAATTGTGTTTAAAATATCCTTGGCTATGTTGTTTTACAGATTTTTTTAAAAATAACTTATACAATCCTTGTTTTTTCTCTGTGAAATATTTTTTATATGGGAGTGGGGAATCTTTTTGTGTCTTACGTCCTTCTCCTTTTCTCCTCTCTGATCTTGCAGAGCC